CCAAAAGCATATAACTAACATTTACAGGGTAAAAAGGTCTCTTCTTAGTTCTTATCATCTTGAGTGGATCACTCTATAAAATTAACTATCATAAATACATATATTCTCTCATATGTATTATAAACAAAAAAGCCTATACATAGACCATCATAAAGTGGTCACCCAAAAATCAATTTAACAATTGGAATGCCAAAGTTTAGTTAAAATTCTGACATAATTCAATGTTGACTAGAGAGATAATAAAAAGTGGATTTCACTAGTTACAGTTAACGAACATTTATATTTTTAAATGAAAAGAACAACATTGCCCATCTAATAACAGTTTAGGAGCAAAAGTATACCTTAACTTATAAAAACTGAGTCCTACTAACTACAATAATAAATGTTTAATTAGTTTAGAGGCAACACTGATGCGATGAATAATTTAAAGGCAACATGATTCCTTTGAGAATGGTTTGAAAACAAAATTGCACCTTAACTTCTTCTTGAAAAACAAACATAAAACTAAAAACATTAAATCATCAGTTAAAACATCAATCAAAGATTTACAGCTGTAAGTCATCAATCCATATTTAAAAAAACAAAATCAAAGATAGCTGCTGGCAGTTTTCTTTTCTGGTCGGTCAAGGAAATGAGATCAGACATCAAACATCAAAGAATCAATATAATTATCAGTTTCTTTTGGTGCCGTCGGACACATACCCGCCAAAACCCCATGGGTGGAGATCAAAGGCGGTGGGGCAAGGTCACCATGGAAATCGAAGCCAGAAGTGGAACCTGTCGCTTACTGCCGTAAGTGCTCAATGCTATGCTTGACCCAGACAAGATCAATCGGTACATTTTCAGATGCTCCGGGTCTGTCACTGTAATCCATTAGATGCTTTGCTCTTCGCTCCCTGATTTTTCATTCTTCCTCGTTCTTTGGAGGACTTTATATGGTTCATGCACAAGTATGTCAAGGATACTGTTGAGAAAGGAGGATTCATTTCGATCAAGTTCTCTTCTCGAATCCAAAGGCCCTTAATTGCTACATTTTTCAAATGCTCCAAGTCTGTCAGTATAAAATATGCATTGCTCAACAGTCAGTGCCTGTCAGCTTCCAGGTCTCTCTTCCTCTCTAACCCTGTAGCCTATGAGTTATTTTCATATTTTATTTCATAATCTTGCCATTTTTCAACTTTTCGAATTGTTTATCTTTTGTTTTTGAATGATTAATGTCTTCCATTATCATTGACGTTACAAGGAACTTAAATACATGTATGTGTTTTCACTATGGAATTTGTTATCAGCTTCGAGTGGCGCTTATAATTATTAATAGGAGTGTTTACATATGATTAAAGCATAATGTTTCCTCCCATGTTCTTGGGTTGATGCTAGGTTTACAATTCAATGTGAAAAAAATGGTAACTCATATCATACGACCTTGCTTCAAAAGGTTGAGGTTGAAGTGGAATTGAAGATTTTGTTAATGGAGGAATATTTTATTCAAAGCATAAGCTGCACACGGCAAGCATATATACAGTGAGACGCGATCGTAATCCTCGCGTATGTTCTGCCTAAGATATCTCCTGTGATCTCACGATATTTACAATTAAAATAATAATATCTAAATCCCTACAGTCACGTGCTTTAGTTATGCCGCATATCACGCATGAGCCCACGTGAATAGTTATTACGCACGAGAGTACCATGCATGCACGCTTTCACTCCCCCTCAAGTTGGAGTGTGAAGGTCCGTAACACCCAATTTGCTAGTCAGATCATGATGGCGTTCCTTGATCAAGGCCTTCGTAAATATGTCAGCCACCTGATGCTTTGTCCAAATCTTTCGTGGGGATATTTCCTTGGACTGTATCCGCTCGCGAACGAAGTAGCAATCCATTTCGACATGCTTAGTTCGCTCATGAAAGACGGGGTTTGCTGCTATATGAAGTGCAGCCTGATTGTCACAATAAAGAGGAGTGGCTTCTGAGCAATGAATACCTAGTTCTTTGAGCAACCATCTCAACCAAACTACTTCACTCACAGTACAAGCCATCGCACGATATTCTGCCTCTGCGGATGATTTAGACACAACACTTTGTCTCTTGGAACGCCATGAGATTGGAGAACCGCCGAGACTAACAAAGTATCCAGTACACGACCTCCTCGTCATTGGGCAGCCTGCCCAATCGGCGTCACAGTATGCAACGAGCCCCAATGAACCAGAGCTTCTCATAATAATTCCTTGTCCTGGAGTCGCTTTTAAGTAGCGGAGGATGCGTTCTGCAGCGTCCATGTGGATCTTACGTGGTGACCCACTAAACTGACTCAATACATTAACAGCATAGGTGATGTCAGGGCGTGTGATGGTGAGGTACTGGAGTCTTCCCAACAAGCGACGATATCGTCCTTCATTAGCAAAAGGGTCTTCGTCGGTGGGTTTTAATCTACAACTTTGTTCCATGGGAGTATAGCATGGTCTACACCCCATCATTCCACTATCTTTCAAAATGTCTAGGATGTATTTTCGTTGACTAAGCATGAACCCCTCACTAGATCGGGCAACTTCAATGCCTAAGAAGTACTTTAGCTTCCCAAGGTCTTTGATGCTGAATCGCTGATGGAGGAAAGTCTTTACACTCTGCATGTGAGTCTCATCATTACCTACCAATAAAACATCATCCACATAGATAAGGGCTGCTGTGAACCGCTCCCCCTGTCGATGAAGGAAAAGAGAATGGTCGGCAGAAGAATGTACAAAACCACGTGCAAGAAGGGCATCCGTGAATTTGTGATACCAGTTCCGTGAAGCCTGTCGCAAACCATATAGGGACTTCCTTAATCGACACACCTTGCGCGGTCCAGAACGATGGAAACCCTGTGGGATCTTCATGTATACTTCCTCATCGAGGTCACCATGGAGAAAAGCATTGTTTACGTCGAGTTGGTGGACAAACCAATTCATCTTGGCAGCGAGAGCAAGAAGGCACCGTACGGTCACAAGCTTAGCAACCGGAGCAAATGTCTCATGAAAGTCGATACCCTCTCGTTGAGTAAATCCTTTTGCTACGAGACGAGCCTTATATCGCTCTACCTCTCCCGTGGGTTTATACTTAACTTTGTATACCCATTTCGAGTCAATAGCATGTTTGCCAGGTGGGAGATCGACAATCGACCATGTACCATTCTGTTCAAGAGCCTCGATCTCACATGCCATGGCCTCACGCCAATGTGCATGGCGGACTGCTTCTGTAAAATGCTTGGGCTCATCTTGCTTATCAATTGCTGCCAAGAATGCTTTGTGCGAGGAAGAGAAACGCACGTTAGAAACAAAATTAGTAAGAGGGTGTGCAGTGGAGTTACCTGATGCAGATATCGAGATCCCTGAAGAGGGTAGAGTAGGATGAGACGGATGGGCTAAAGAAGTTGGAAGGTCGAGATCATAATCTCCTAAATGGCTTGGTGCTCGCCTGGTTCGTTGACTACGACGAACTGCGTCAATCTGTTCAACTTCTACAGTAGGAAGACAGTCAACCGATTGCTCAGTACTTGAAGCAGCACCAGTCTCAACAAGAGAAGAATGACTAGTAAGTGGTGCCTCTGATGCATGTGCTACCTCTTCATCATCAATAATGGCACCATGGGTAGGTGGCTTACTAACCGAAGCTGTAGTCTCGGTTTGTAGGTTCTGGAAGGGAAACTGAGTTTCCAAGAAAACCACATGGCGTGATACATAGACTTCTCCACTACGGATATCGTACAAGCGATATCCCTTCTGGCCTGTGGGGTATCCGATGAAGACACACACTCTCCCACGTTCATCAAACTTATCTACAATTCTTGAGTTGTGTGCATATGCCAAACACCCAAAACTGCGTAAGTGTTCATATGTCGGTGTCTTACCGAGTAGCACCTCATATGGTGTTTTATGACGCAACACCCTCGACGGGAGGCGATTGATAAGGTGCACAGCTGTCAACACACACTCCCCCCAAAACGACGTTGGCAAGCCCGCTTGAAAACGTAATGCTCGAGCCACCTCCAATATATATCGATGTTTGCGCTCCACGACCCCATTTTGCTGTGGGGTATATGGGCACGTGGTTTGTAGTGTAATGCCCTTCTCAACATACAATGCAAGCATGAAGCTGGACTGGAATTCTAAGCCATTATCTGTGCGAATTGTTTTTACTCGTGCCCCATACTGTGTTTCTATCATGGTCAAGAACATTGGTAAATATATTTTCACATCTGACTTATGCTTCATGAGATAGACCCAAACAGTTCGACTAAAGTCATCTACAATGGTGAGGAAGTAATGTGCACCTGACAAAGATGGTACTTTATATCCACCCCATATATCGCAATGGATCATGTCAAAACAAGAAGAGGTTTTTATTGTACTAGAAGGAAATACAAGATGGGTCTGTTTTGCTCTTAAACAAGAATCACAGTGTGCCAAGAGCTCATTATTGAAAGCATTTGAGAGTAGACTCATTTTCTTCATTTTGTCTTCAGGAGGGTGCCCGAGTCGATGATGCCAAACCTGCAGATCCACTGTGTTTCGCACATTCATCACACTTCGCACATGCGTGGCTGCCTTTTGTGACATTTTCGACTCAAACATATATAGCCCATCCCGTTCTCTAGCCACTCCAATCAGGGTCCTCGATCTGTAGTCCTGGATAAGACAAATATTACGCACAAGAATCACCATATAATCATATTGTTTTAGCAGCTTCATTATAGACAACAAATTGCATTTAAAATCTGGGATATATAAAACTTTGTCTAGCTGTAGATGATCATTTATTGTAGCCTGCCCAATGCCTGCCACTTGCACACTATCTCCATTAGGAATTTGCACTGGAGGCTGATTTAAAGCCTTTGAAATGTTATGCAACAACGTTGGGTTGCAAACTATGTGGTCGGTTGCCCCTGTGTCAATCACCCAGCTATTATTAGAATTCACCATACCTGCCATGTTGGCTCGCGGTCCACTTTCAACCTTATTGACATCTATTTCTTGGTGATGCATTGTAGAAGGCGTTCATATTGATCAGTTGTCAATCCTGGAATAGGACTCTCAGTCATGCTCACCTGTGCAGCACGTGGCATACCCTTTTTCTCACCCCAGTTTGTCCGTCTTTCTCGTTTGTCACGACTCCCTTTCTTCCAATCCTCAGGGAACCCAATCAACTCGTAACATCGATCTTCTGTATGTCCTAACTTTTGGCAATGATTGCATTTAGGCTTTTCCCTTTTTCCATCTCTGGGTACTTTATCAGTACGCACTTGAAACGCCGCACTTTCGATCACAGGCCTCTGCATAGCTGAAACTTGCCTTTGTTGTTCATCCTCTGCAACCAGGTGGTATGCTTGTCCCAGCCTTGGTGTGGGTTTCATACTAAGAATCTGAGTTTTAATGGTGTTGGATGCCTCATCTAGTCCCATGAGAAACTCGTACAAGCGATCTCGTTCCTTCATTTCAACAAGCTGCTTTTCAATATCACACGTGCATTTACCACACTCGCACTTAGGCATCGGCATGATCGTCTCTATTTCATCCCACAAGCTTTTCAGCTTGGTGTAGTAAGTGGGTGCTGAAGATCGATCCTGCCGCATCATTGCTACCTGCCTTCGGAGTTCATATACGCGAGGCGCATTACCTTTTCCGAATCGCTCCTCGAGATCTGTCCATATCTCACGAGCACTCTTAGCGTAACGTACGCTAATGCGAACATCCTTGTCCATCGAACTCTTCAACCATCCCTTCACCATTGCGTTGCAACGCATCCACGCACTGAGTTCCGACGAGTCGACAGACGGCATTGACAGTGTGCCATCAACAAATCCTATTTTGTTCTTAGCGAAGAGAGCGTTCGCCATGTCGTTCACCCACTCCGCATAGTTGCCTTCATTAAGCAGTTCACTGACATAAACTTGCCCTGGGTTATCAGATGGGTGTAAGTAATAAGGAGACGATGTGTCGCTACTGTTCTTCCCATCGGCACCACTCTTGGCTTCATCAGTTTCAATCATGGTTGAACACAAACAAGGTATTCAGGACCTCAGCTCTGATACCATGAAGATTTTGTTAATGGAGGAATATTTTATTCAAAGCATAAGCTGCACACGGCAAGCATATATACAGTGAGACGCGATCGTAATCCTCGCGTATGTTCTGCCTAAGATATCTCCTGTGATCTCACGATATTTACAATTAAAATAATAATATCTAAATCCCTACAGTCACGTGCTTTAGTTATGCCGCATATCACGCATGAGCCCACGTGAATAGTTATTACGCACGAGAGTACCATGCATGCACGCTTTCAGGAATTGTCTTCTCTTTGGACATATGCAGCTGGTCTTCTTTTTCTGTAAAGACAATTAATGATTCAATCTGACTTTTGATCTTGGGAGAATGATAAATAAAAATTTTGTAAGAAAATTAATGTTAAATTAAGATTTTTTAATACTGACATTTCTAAATTTCAATATTTCTTCTATCATGTTTCAGTGCTAAAGTTTTTAATTTGATATTAATGTTTTTACAAGGTCCTTAATTAATATTCTCTTTTTAATCTTTACTCATATGCAATTTCTTAATCTAGTAGTAGTTATTCTCCTCTCCAATGTCCCTCTAATTTGAGTGCCATAGCCCATGATAAATTACACGTGGCATACCTAAGTGATGATTGAAATAAGATTTATGTAAACTTATTTATTTAGTATTTTTTAAAAACTGAGTATATATGTTGGTTAAAAAATATGGATAAAAGAGTAAATTGATTTTTAAATTACAGGTTAAAAGTGTCTAAAATCCTCAATTTATTTTTTTACAGTATTTTTTTAACTTTTGAAAATTATGCAATGATCAACAAGAGTCAACTTTTACAATTAATTGACAAGAAAAAAACCTTAAAAGTTATAAAAAATGATGAAAAAAATTTATTGGTCATTTTCTAAATTTTTTTATCATTATCTATAATTTTTTAATCATTTATTGTAAGTTTTGGTCTTCTCTATAATTTTTAATGTCTTTTTTGGTCATTTTCTAGTAAATTAATAGTTAAAGTTAATTTTTATTAATTATAGGAGTCAAATCACATATTTTTAAAAGTTGAAGAAAAATATTGTATAAAAAATCAATTAAAAATCTCAAATGCTCCTAATTATATAGTTTAGGGTTTGATTTGCTTTTTTACACAAATAATATTTTAAGCATGTGGGTAAAAAAAGAACTCAGGAAGAATAACATCTAAGTTCCAAAAGGTTAAATTAATAATAACAATAGGCCTGACAAATTTTTTTAAAAAATAAATTATAAATATCAATTTAAATAATTACAAAAAAATTCTTCTTACACATTTGATATTTAAATATTTATTTACAATCAAAACTCTTGAATTTATAATTATTTTGATTGATATTTTTAACTTACTTAAAAGAATTTAAGGATTTAACTGTCATTAATTTAATGGTATGGGACTTAACTATCATTGTTCAAAGAACTTAATGCAATATAAATTTATATAAATGAAATTAAATTAGTCAATATAAGTTATGTCTATTTTATAAAAAAATATAATTTTAATACAATATTTTAAAATTATTTATTTAAATATTGTTATATTTAATTACTTAAAGTTCTTTAATCGGGGAGAGAAAGTAAACAATTAAATTATAAGGACAAGTTAATTTTTCTAAATTTTTAATATAATTACCAATAAAAAATAAATATTTTAGAATCATTTTTTATGAAATAATTTTAGAATCAGCAACAAATGTTTCTTTAATAAAAATAAAAACCCCAGATTTACAATGCAATTATACAAAAATAAATAAGAAAAAAAAAATATATATATATATATATATAAAAGAGGTACTATTAAGGTAACAATATTATAATTTTCATTGTTATCCACTTCCATGAAAATATAATAGAAATGATTAGAGACACAAAAATTATTATTCCGTTTTTTTTTTTTTTTTGGGGGGGGGAATATCCTAGCTAACTTTTCCCTCAAAGGGGGAAGATCCCACATGCATGCATTTCACGCACACCTATGCAACATACACAACACACCGATCCCGCTACACGTGCGCAAGATTTTTGGTCTCCCTCTAACCACATGACAGTTTAATCCTTTAACATCTTGCATTAAGAGATTCTCCCTCCGTCTTTATAAAAATTAATTATTTAATTAAAAATATAGTGATATTTTAAATTTATTCTTAATTATTGTAAATAAAAACTAAATTTATTTTTTTAAAGTAAATTAACAAGAGTATTGATTTTTTATTTTTTTAACTAATAAGAATATGATGGTTCATTTATTAAAAAAATATACTAACACTCTTTTATATTTAAAAATAAAAATAATTTTAAAAAATTTTTTATATATAGAAATAAAAAGAATGTGATTATAAGAATCAGTGCCACTGGACCAAAGGGTCATTGGCTTATCATCCATCTCACTTGCTAATCTCCACTAATACAAAATAACTCTTTAACGATACTACTTTGTTCAATAGTAACTATAGTTATAACATCAAAAATAAATATTATAATATTATTATGACAGGTTTTTAATAAAAATGTTATTGTTATTTATATCTTGACAAATAATTAATTATATTATCATTAGTATTATTAATATAAATAAATAATATTAATAAAATAACATTTCAAATTTAAATTTATAACATCTAACGATAGATTAATATCAAAATTAACTTAATATTTTAGCTTTTCAAGCATATAAAATATATATATATAATATTAATTAATATTATAATTTATAATATATTTTGACCTGTCATTAATATTTTGGAAACCCTCAGCTTTTTGAGCATATAAAATATTATATTTTATATATATATATATAATATTAATTAATATTATAATTTTAATTATATTATATGATTTTTTAATATGTAATGACAATTTTAACAGCACATGTCGTGATTATGATCATAGTAATTAATAAATTAAGTTGTCATTGATTTATTGTGTTAATATATTAATCTATTAAAGAAGTAATATTAATGGAAAGATCAATTTAATATCATATATTAAATAATATAAATATATTATACATAATATTTTTATTTATTGTAATATAAATAATATTAATAGTAATATCTTATTAGTATTAAAAATATTAACAATAGATATATATTATAATAATTAATTATAATTATATTAATATACACACACATAATTTTATAATAAAAAGACAAATAAAAAAAAGAGTATCTATCAAGGCATTAGTTGTCGTGATATATAATAACAAATAGAAAAATAAATCAATACTCATAAATAATAACTAGTATTAATATAAATAATAATTTTATTAATTGTAATATAAATAATAGGATTAATGAGCAAATAGGACTTTGAATTATTGCTCAAAAATCATCCTTAACCCTTAACTCTTAAAATATATAAAATAAATCCTAAACTTTTAAATTCATAACAAAATAAACTTTAACCGCTAACTTTTTAACATCTTTACTATCCACACAGGTACTGTTTAAGGTTTATTTTTTCTATGAATTTAACCTTGACTATTACAATACCTGCATGGACAATAACAGTGTTAAAGAAGTTAATGGTCATGGTTTATTTTACTATAAATTTAAAAGTGTATAATTTATTTTGTATATTTTAAGAGTTCAGGGTTCAAGATGATTTTCGAGCAAGAGTTCAAGATCTTATTTACTTATTAACCCTAAATAATATTAATAATATTAACATTAGGTAAATGTTATAATATTTAATGACATATATTATTATAAATTTGTATTTAATAAAATAATATTATTTAAATAATAAATACAAAATGGGAACCCTGTGTTTGTCAACTCGGTCATGGCAAATAATAAATATATACTTAATAATATCACCTAGTTTTGTGAAGTCAAAGGCACGAAAGGCAAGTCTAATGACAGTGCAATAATAACTATCATTAGATTAACACATCAACAATATAATGACACTCATTAATTAACCACAATATAACGACACTTATACCTATTAACTATCATTATACGTCCGCTCCTTTTTACCCAACTTACCCCATAACCTATTTTCAATTTTCACTATCTTAAACTCAGTATCATGCCTTCCCTCCAACTCTGCTATCCTCTCCCTCCACCTTCAACTGCTCCCATTGTCCTATTTTAGCTATTTTCTATCCACCCTCAGCTCCTGCTCTTTGCCTTTTAGCTTCTCCTCTCCATCGTTAGTTCACCCAACTGTCATTTCTCTTTCTTAGGCCTCCAACTCTACACATTAGTCTAAGTAAGTTCATTCAGCTTCGTCGTGTTTTAATTTTTTTTTTAAGTTTTTCTCCAAATGCATGTTAAGCTTTGTTTTCTTATTTTTTTATGAGATTAATTATTTATTTTAATATAATAAAATTTTTAGGAATAATTTTTAACACTTATTATGCATGTTCAGCTCTCTTTGTATCAAATTAATTATTTATTTTAGTATAAATTTGATATAAAATTTTTGTTTATAATTTTTAACACCCATTATGGATATTCAACTTTCTTTTCTTTTTTATCAAATTTATTATTTATTTTTAATATAAATTTCATATAAAATTTATGGGCATAATTCATATTTTAATTAATAGCTTCAATTAGTTGCGGTTTCTGTCTATAATTGTCAATTATATACCCATTTAGATTTGTTGAAATTGGACAGATAAGGGTTTAATGCTTAAGGAATGCTAATTTATATAAAATAGTTGTTCATATTTTAATTTGACAATTATATGATAGATTGAATGTGTAAAAAAACTTGAATTGGTTGTTGATTAGAGTTATAATTGTTGATTATCTATTGACATTAGTTGAAATTGGTTAAATGAGGGTTTTGTGCTTAGGCAGTGTCAATTTATAAGTCGTTATGTTATCAATTTTTAAGTTTTAAAATATAAAATAGTTTTTTATATTTTAATTAAGTAATCATGAACCATAGTTAGATAGATGTTTTATGGACAAGCAATGAATATGAGAGGGGG